TGGCGTCCGCGAGTACGGGGGTGCGGGGCTGACGGCTTCTCGGCGGGGCCCTGGGGGCGCAGTTTGTTTCTAATTGGGGTGAAGAGCCACAAACTCGGCGGGCTTGTTTCAAAACGGGGCGAGGGGACAAAAGAACAAGTAAATAATGAGGGCCTGGGACGAAAAGGGTTAGCTCTCACTGAGCGCCTGTGCCAAACGTTGGTATGTGTATGGATGGAATTCCCGCTAACCCCAAGGTCAGCAGTTTGAAGCCACCAGCTGCTTCGCGGGAGAAGAGAGAGGCTTTCTAGTCCCCAAAAGTCTCAGAATGCCACAGAAGCAGCTTTATCCCGCCCTATAAGGTCGCTGTGAGTCAGAATCCACTCAATGGCAGTGTGGTTTGGGGTTTGTAGAAGGCTACGGCTTACAGTGAAAAATAACTCCATTTGGGTCTTGACGTGAGTTAAACTAAGGTGACCAGACATCCGCTTTGGGCGGGACAGTCCCGATTTTTAACAATTTTTCCTGCGTCCCGTGGCGTTTTAAAATCCCGATTTTTGGAAAAAATGCACAAGCTAAGGTATACGGTTTTCCGCAGCCATGTGGCTATTTCGCCAGGATATGTTTTATCAATGGTGTCCCGCTTTACCAATGTTAAAATCCGGTCACCTTAGTTAAACCCATGGCAGTGGGCTTAACACTTGTTTAAATTGCCCTTTAAAAAAAAGAGGCTTATTTAAGGTATAATTTACATACTGTAAACTTCTACCCTTTTTAGGTGTATAAGTATAAATTTTTTTAACACAGTCAGGAAATCAAGATAGAACAGTTCCATCACCCCACCACACCCCAAAGTATTACCCCGAAGCCAGTAGTCAATCCCTTTCTTCCCACCCCCAGTCCAGCCCTTGGCATCCACTGATCTGTGTTCTCCCCATCATTTTGCCTTTACCAGAATGCCACAAAAATGGAATCTCTTACAGCCTTTTGAGTCTGACTCCTTTTACTTATCTTGTTGGAGATTCATCCACAGTGTTACATGTATTGGTAATTTATTATCTTTTGTTGTTCTTGAGTGGAATTCTACTGTGTGGATGTACCACTTAATTTTTTAAAAAATCTATTGACTAGTTGATGATCATTGAATTGTGGTGCTGGCAAAGAATATTGAAAGTACCATGGACTGCCAAAAGGACAAACAAATCTGTCTTGGAAGAAATATGGCCAGAGAGCTCCTTAGAAGCAAGGATGGCAAGACTCTGTCTCACTTACTTTAGGGGAGGCCAGTTCCTGGAGAAGGACATCATGTTAGGTGCAGTAGAGGGGAGTAGAAAAGGAGGAAGGCCCTGGACGAGACGGCTGGACACAGTGGCTGCTACAGTGGGCTCCGGCACAGGAATCACAGAGAGGCTGGTGCAGGACCAGGCAGTGTTTCCTTCTGTTGTGCACAGGGGCGCGGTAGGTCGGAGCCGATTGCTAGCACCGGCACCACAGCAGCCACAAACATTCACATCCTTGTGTGCACAGAGCTTTTCATTGCTAAATACCTAGGAGCAGGATTACCGGAGCAGAAGGTGGTTATTTATTTACTTTTAGGAAAAGTGCTAAACTTTCTAAAGTGGCCAAGCCATTTTGCATCTCTCTCGGTGCTAACTCGGGCTGGTTCTCTGGAGAAGGAAAACCAGTGGCACTCATATGTATACGTAGGTGTGTACATTAATACTGAGAGACTGGCTCACAGAGTTATAGGAGTAGCAAGTCCAAGTTACAGCAGGTTTCAAGTTCATGAGTCAAATACTAGGCTGGAGGCTGATGAAACCAAAATCGGCAGGAAGGCAACAGGCTGGTGGCTGCATAGGCTAATGACCCCAAGGCCCGCAGATCCGAGGCAGGCCACTGAAGACTCCAAGGATTGGGGGCAGCCAATACCACAAGCTGCGCGGCTCAAGTCCAAAGAACCAGAGGTGAGTGAACCAGATGCAGGATCAAGCCCAGCATGACCAAGGTAGAGTGTCCTGGAATTCTCATTCTTCTCAAGGCTATTGCTACTTTACTATGATTCGCACAGACAAATGCCCTTGCATACTTAATGAAACAAAAGTAAACAGTGCTGGCATTTTCTGCTTTCAGCCAAGATCCATCTCACCTCAGCATTGATATCCTTTGTTCTCTGTCCTCTTCTGAATCTGTCCTGAATCTCTGGCAGCTATTTGTCAATGTACTGCTGCAACCGTTATTGGATGATCTTCAGTAAACATGTACTTGCATGTGACATCAATGATGTTCTATAGTTTGAGCATTCTGGTGGGTCACCTTTTTTCAGAATGAGTACAAATAAGGATCTCTTCCAGTCAACTGGCCAAAGGGCTTTCTTGCAAGTTTCTTAGCATAGACAGATGAGTGCTTCCAATGCTTCATCATCTTATTGAGACATATCAATTGGTAGTCCAATTCCTGGAGCTTTGTTTTTGGCTAATTCTTTCAGTGCAGCTTGAACTCCTTCCTTCAGTATCATTGGTTCTTGCTCATATGCCACCTCTTGAAATGGTTGAATGTTGACTATTTCTTTTTGGTACAGTGACTGTGTAAGCTCTTCATTTTCTTCTGATGCTTCCTGCATCATTCAGTATTTTACACACAGAATTTTTTAGTATTGCAACTCAAGACTTGATGTTTTTCTTTACTTCTTTCAGTTTCCGATATGCTGAGTATGTTCTTCCTTTTTGGTTTTATGACTAGGTTTTTGCACATTTCATTATAATATTTTACTTTGTCTTCTCAAGCTGCCCCTAGAAATTTTCCATTTAACTCTTTGACTTCATTATGTCTTCCATTTGCTTTAGGTACTCTAGAATTAAGAGCAAGTTTCAGAGTCTCTTCTGACACTCACTTTGACCTTGTCTTTCTTTCCCGTCTTTATAATGGCCTCTTGCTGTCTTCACGTGGGGTGCTCTTGATGTCCTTCCACAGCTCACTGGGTCTTCTGTCACTAGTGTTCAGTGCAGCAAGTACGTCCTTGAGATGTTCTCAAAATCCAAGTGGGATAGACTCAAGTCATATTTTGGCTTTCATACTCATATACTTGTTTTAATTGTCCATAGCTTTAACCTGAACTTACATATAAGAAGCTGTTGGTCTGTTCCAGTCAGCCCCTGGCCTGGTTTTATCTGCTGATATTGAACTTCTCAGTCACCTTTTCCCACAGACGTGGCCAATTTGATTTCTGTATATTCCATCTGGTGAAGTCCATGTGCACAGTTGTGGTTGTTGTTGAAAAAAAGTATTTCCTATGAAAGTCTTTACACTGACAAAACATACAACTTTCCTTTAGTTCTTTAGTCGTCCGTCCCCCCCCCATCATGACTCCAGTTCTACCTTACACATCTGGCTAGACCAGAACATGTACCCTGGTACAGATAAGAGCTCTAGACACGTGGAATCCAGGACAGATAAACCCCTCAGGAACAATAATGGGAATAGTGATACCATGAGGGTAGGGGAAAGGTGGGGGGCAAAAGGGAGAACCCATCGCAATGATTGACATACAACCCCCACCCCCAGAGGGATGAACAACAGAAACATGGGTGAAGGGAGACAGCGGTTGGTGTAAGATATGAAAATAATAATAATTTATAATTTATCAGGGGTCCATGGGTGGGAGGGTGAGAGAGGGAGGGGAAAAATACCTGGTATCAAGGGCTCAAGTAGAAAGAAAATGTTTTGAAAAGGATGATGCAACATGTGTACAAATGTGCTTAACAGGGATGTAGGGATTGTTATAAGGGCTGTAAGAGCCCCCAATAAAATGATTAAGAAAAAGTCTTTGGTTATACAGAATTCTCTCATGCAACATCCAGCGTAATTTCTTTCACCAAGACTTTATTTTTCAACCACTGTTCTTCTCTGTTCCCAACTTTGGCAATTCAATCGCCAATAATTATCATTGCCACTTATAAATGCATGTTTCAACTTCAGACTGAAGATGTTGGTAGAATTCTTCAAATTTTTCATCGTGCATATAAATTTGAGTCATCGTACTGGTTGGATATCCTTGAATGGGGATAGATAAAACCCTATCACAGAAAGCATTGTATTTCAAGATTGGTCTTGGACTGTCCTTTTTGACGATGAATGCCACACCATTTCTCGACTGTGTCATTCCCCGCGTGGTAAACCAGATGAGGGTCCAAGATTCAGAATGGTCAACACGAGTCCATTTCAGATTACTAATGCACAGGACATCAATCTTTATGTGCTCCATTTCACTCTTGATGGTTTCCAGTACGCCTAAACCCGTACTTCTTGCATTCCAAGTTCCACTTATTAGTAGGCTGTTGCAGCTGTTTCTCCCCAGTTTGAGTCGCGCCCCAGCAGCAGGTGAGGAGCCCAAAGGCTTTGTTCCTACACTTTGTTCCGTCCCCATCGCTGTGGTCAACTTGTACAACCGAGAAGGCAGCTTCTCCTCAGTCACAGTCTGAGGCCCTCTGACTTGAGGGCTCGTCTTCTGGCGCTATCTCTGACAGCATCTGACGCTGTTTCAGTGCTATCCATAAGGTTTTCAGTGGCTAATTCCGCCAAAGTGGACAACCTAGTCCTTCACTGTCTGTTCTTCATCTGAAAGTTCTGCTGAAATGTATTCACTGTGAGTGATCCTGGTGGCATCTACAACACCAGTGACAAAGCTTCCAGCATTACAGCAATACACAAGCCACCACAGATGACAAACTGACAGGCAAGTGGTGGATTGATTCCAAATAGTATTGCCAGTTTGTTTATTTCAGCTCTTCTAATAGGTGTGATTTGGTATCTGATGATGTTAATATACATTTTCCCAATGACTAATGGTGTTGAGCAACTTTTATCAATTCCACCTCAGTGGCTGCCACCACGGGCTCTCAAGCATGAAGCTGGTCCAGGGCCAGCCAGTGTTTCCTTCTGTTGTGCACAGGGTCACCGTGGGTTGGAAGCAACTGGAGGACCCCCACTAACAGCAGTGACAGTGCCATCCATCTGTGTCTCTGGTGGATCAAGTCTTTTGATCACTGTTTATGCCTAGGTTACTGGAAGCGTAATACTCAGATTTGAGATATTACTGTATGATTAAGCATATTTAATGTTTCCTTCTAAGTACTACTTTTTAGCTACAGCTTACAAACTTTGATTTTTCATATTTATTCAATTATTTTATAATTCTTTTTTTTTAATGCAGTTTTTCCTACCTACAGTATTTGTATGGCACCTCCTCCTCCCATTCTGTTAGTTTCAACATGACATCTCTCCTGGAAGACGGCCCTGCTTGAAATCCAGGCAATTTGATTCCCTTGTAACATCGCCTTCTTCTAGTTGTTAGAGAGCGATGCCCTTTTCAGCTGGCTGCCCCTAGGCAGACGTGGAGCTTACTCACCGCATGGTACCACTGTTAGAGAACCGTTTCCATCACTACTGTCTGTGGACATTTAGTATCAGGTGCTTAGGTGTAGTCTTCAAAACAAATACAACGGAAAAGAAACAATGTGATAGAATACAGAAAGCATACTGTTGCCTGCCCAAGGCTCTGAGGCAGTCCATGTAAAGAAAACATTGAGTGTTAGAGGTTAGAAGTGTAACAGTCTCAATGCGTTCCCCTAGAGGGCAGCAGAAGGAAACAATAAAACCTAAGAAGGAAACACCTTTTCATCTTGTGATTTTGTTGAATACCACTTCCATTGAACTCTTACAGTTAATCCTTTGGATCCCATGCGGTGAGTTAGATTTCAGTGTGCTTATCATGTCTGAGCATCAGACAGTGAGGATAAAGCTACCATCTGCTATGGAGCAAGTGACTTAGCTCTGGAGTTTTCAGTTTGATCCAGGCTGCCTTGGAGTGGATGGAGAAACAGATGGCAGAGAAGCCTGGCATGTGATTTGGTATGGGGGAGGAGGGACATGTCTCTCTCTCTCACACACACACACACACACCCACCACCCACTACCACCCCACCCCACCCAGAATAAAACCCGATAGCCACGGGGTTGATTCACACTATAGGACACAGTAGAACTGCTTCACTGGGTTTCCAAGGTGGCACATCTTTAGGGGAGCAGATAGCATCGTCTTTCTCCCTTGGAGCTGCTGGAGGGGTTGAACTGCCAACCTTGGGGTTAGAAACCCAACATTTAACCCAAAGTGCTCATCAGGGCTCCCTTCAACCCATAACAATGAAAGTAAATGCCCTGTAGAAGTACAGACTAAGAACCTATCTGGGGGGTGGGGGGGTGGTACGGAGAGGTGGGAACAGGGAAGTAATTCTGGAAGAGGAGCAGATAGAGGGAGTAATATTCTAGGTAGAAAATACAAAGCAGTAAAAATATTCAACCTATGACAAAAAGAGGCTATTTCTATCCATCCCTCTGTATCATCGCAGACTCACTCTCAGCTCCACCTCCCTACACATATCTGCTCCTCTCCCCAGCAGCACTCCACTCCTTGCTTTTGAAACACGCCCTCTGAGGAGTCTGTTCTATTAAAAAGATGAGAGAGCAAAAGCTCTAGGGATAATGTTAATTTAATTAACAAGTATTGAGTACCTACTATCTGCCAGCCACTGTTCTAGGCCCTGCAGCTGCTGAGCGTTTAAAGGGGAGAGAAAATCTCGGGTCTAGGGGAACGTGTCTTCCACTGCTGTTGTGAGGTTCGGACTCACAGCTCCCCAGTGTGTAACAGGACGAGACACCGCCCGCCCCTGCGCTGTCCTCATCGTTTCAGCCACTCGGTCAAGCCATCTTCTCAAGGCCCTTACTCTGCTGCTTTTACTTTTTACCAAGCATGTGTTCTTCTCCAGAGAGGGGTCTCTCCTGGCAACATGTCCAAGGTACATGAGGCAAAATCTTGCCATTTAAGGCGCATTCTGGCTGTACTTCTTCCAAGACAGATTTGTTTGTGCTTTTCAAAGTCCATGGTACTTTCATAAATTCCTCTTATAAGCCATTGAGTCCATTCTGACTCACTGACCCGACAGGACAGGGTAGAACTGCCCCGGTCAGTTTCTGAGGCTATAACTCTTTATAGAGTCCAAAACCGCATCTTTCTTCCGTGGAACCACTGGTGGGTTCGAACTGTTAGCAGCCCAAGGCGTAACCCACACTACCAGGGCTTCTCTTTGTATTCCACTAGGACAGCGGTTCTCAACCCGTGCATCGTGACCCCTCCCTTTGGGGGTCCAACAACCCTTTCACAGGGGTCACCTGATTCCTAACAGTGACAAAATGACAGTTACGAAGTAGCAACAAAAATGTTATGGTTGGGGGGTCACCACAACATGGGGAACTGTATGAAAAGGTTGCGGCATTAGGAAGGTTGGGCACCAGTGCACTGTTAGAAAAGTAAGTGTACAGTGTATTGGATGGTGATTGTGGTAGTCCTCTGGGAAACAAGCTAAGCACGGGTATCAAACAGGATTAATACTGGCTAAGTAGGGAAAGATTAAGGATGGTTCTAAGAGGGGTTGAAGACACTGAATGAAAACCTGAATGTGCTACCATCACGCCTTTAAGTTTCCATCTGAGCAGACAATGCAGACTCTGATATGGAGTTTGCCTGGGGTGTTACAGGCACAGGTGGAGGTGGACAGGGCTGGGGTGGGGTGAACATGGGGAGATAGAGAGGTGAATGAATGAGCAGAAAACTTAGGACTTCCATCATGCTGCGTGGGAAATCTCCATCAAGGTGATTTCAGGGAGTAAATGGTGGGGAAGAGTCCAGAACCAGGTAGTGTTTTGTCCTGTCCCAAGCAAGGTTGCTCTGAGCTGGAATGGCTTTGACGGCACCCAACGAAAGTGTGGATATTGCTGTAGCAAAACCTTAGGTCTATGAATTAGTGGGCTGGCTCAGGATCATAGGGCTGACCAGATCTGCCGAGTTACTGATTATGGCACGTATAAGTGAAATCAAGGAAGATACTGCGGGTGTTGATCAGAGTAACTGAAAGGCTACAGCTGCTGTGGAGAGGCAGATGTGGTTAGGGAAAATCCAGGCTGCAGGGTTGGACTTTCCGAGACTATCAGAGTTGGCATTTAAATCTGGGAGGTGGCCTGGAAACTAGAGCAGCTCATTAGGAGAGTGAGTGTAGAGAGAGGAGTGGCCACTCCAGATCAGGAGCTGAGGAAGAACTAGCAACGCTGATGGAAGAGGCCAGGGCAGGAGGAGGAAAACCAACTTTGCGCCCTGGAAACTAACAGAAGAGTTCCAAAGCCGAGGGAGATGCTACGGGAAAGGTAAGATGAAGACCGAGACTGGACCGCTGCATTTAGCAAGGTGGAGATCAGCGAGATTACTGGCAAGTGCAGTTTTGGTGGCGTGGAGCGGCGACGTCCTAACGAATGGGAGGGTGCTGGTGGGTGGGTAGTTTCGAATTAAAGGATGTAGACAAATAGGAGACCTGGGGAGGGGTATGAGGTAATTTTTTTGAAGATGGGAGAGGTGCTGAAATCAAGTCCTTGAATTGGCAGTAGGATGGGATCTAATGCATCAAGTGGTAGAGCTGCTTTCAATGATGGGGAGTATGCACACTTCACCCAGAGTAACAAGAGGAAGAGTTTAAGTACCAATCAAGACGTGGATACTGGTCTGATTGGAAGGATATGTCTCTGGAAAGGTCTTTGGGGACCGTGACCCAGGATTAAAGCTGGTGGAGACTTAGCAAACTATCTTATCTATAACGGTTCTAAGAACATGTTTATACGAAGTTCAAGTCACATCTACCTATGAAGGTAAGTGACATCATATTGCTGCTAGGGTTCCAATTCATCAAAACAATTTGAACGTGTCTCTACTCCATTGACGCTGCAGACAAATGGTCTCAGGAATACTTAGGTCTGTTAAGGCGTCTTCAGAAACATCCAATCACAACAGTGACTTCTGAGGGGGATCTGGCGGGCCAGTTAGACAGAGGTCAGCTCAGAAAGTTATGGTGACTTTTTAAAAAAATATCCCCAAGGAGAAATACAAAAAACATGCTGTTCATTATGAATTCGGTGAAGGTTTACAGAGCAAATTAATTTTGCATTCAACAATTCATACACATTTTGTCACTGATTCCAACACCCCTAACAAAATACCACTATCCTACTTTCCTAACAGGTGTACGTACCTGGCCAGAGTGACTGAAAATGCAGGCTCTCATTTTCAGAACTTCAGGGTTAACTAAGGGCTATAGTCTTGGGGGTTCCACCAGTCTGACTAGTAGCTTGATCTTGTGTTTTGTTAAGATTTCTTGAAGGACAGGAGTGATCATGGGGCTAGTTAAGAAATTTTTAGAAAACTGAAAATTACACTTATGAGAAATAGGCCAGGAATTTTTTTTTCCCATCACAGTGCACCTGTTCGTTCTTCCAGGGCAGTACAGTTGTCCTATGATAATGTTATTGGAAAACCTTACTCCACCCACCCGACAGCCCAGACATCACCCCTTCTGATGTCGTTTTGCCCCAAACTCAGAGGGCGTTGAAGAGAAACCATCTGAGTCCCTCGAGGATGCTCGTGTGGGTGTGCACACCCCAGAGCGCGGCGTTGTCCAGAGGGTCTGCGAGATTAAAGGGTACAAACCTAGACGGGAAATACGCCAAGGAACAACGGCTTCACATATCTTGGTATTTTTGTTGAAGGCCACCTGCCTCATTGATTTTCACAAAACAATCCTCTTGATTTCTGTCTTCTAAGTCTTCATGAATCCAAACAAAACACACACACAAGCTTCATCTGCTTTATTTCACTACAGCAAGTTAAGCAATAAGGCAAAACAGTAATCCTGTCTTTGAATAAGGACCAAGAAGGGGCGACTCTTATTCCCCAAAGGGACCAAAGATGTTTCTTCACAAATAGGGATGACATACAGTTCATTACGCCTATGAGCACTTTGAATAAAGTAGTCAAATCACCAATCTGAAAAATTTAGCCTTGTTTCCGAAATTATGGTTTTAAGTGCTACCAGCATCTAGTTCTCCTATAGGGGTCCACACTACTAGCATTAAACAATTGTACATCTGATCTAACATAAAAAATAAACAAATACAATTGCTAATTCACCAGCTGAATTAGGAGCTATTTCTTTGAACGCACAAAACACCAGCTTGCATTATAAACTATCACGAGGAAGTATTAAACCCGGCTTTGCTTTTCTGCTTGTTAATTTGGCTTCTGAATAATTATTCTATGATCAAAAATGTCTTTATGGCTGTCTGAAGCCTATTACTGTAACATTATTACATTTGGGAACATATATACGTTATACGCCATACACACAAACTGTGTTGTCTATACAAGCATGTGACCATCCCAAGGGAGCCTCTCTATTTTGAGCCCCATTTTCTCCACTGACCAGTAGGGGGCAGTGGCGTTATCATAGGCTTTAGTAAAAAGATAAATAAAAATTATTTTGACACTGTGGGTTTACAAAAGGTTAAACTCTTTCCATAGTCTGCAAGTTTGTCACTACCTACCCCCCAACTCCAGCTCCCAAGAGGCTACATTCTATTCATCTTAGTCTTAGAGAGATGAGTAATTTTTTTCTTACAATGCAGCAGATATATATTATTTTGTAGGAATATGGTTTCATATAATTGGCTTGATCCTAAGAGAACAATTTAGTGTTTTACAAAGGCTTTCTAAATACTTCTATCTTTCAATGGGAAAGATACTCTGTCATGTCTGAATTCCAGATTACAGTATATCTATTTACTTAAATAAAAGACTATAACTTAAAAGTAAAATCAGGTGAAACGACCATTTTCTTTCCTCTGAGTATCTGTTGGCCCGTTGCTAACAATACGTTTACTGAGCATGAGGTGCAGCTGGTGGCAAACTTTGCCAGAAAACAACACAGAAATGAAGGCCAACCTCCCCACTCCAGCAAGCCCCGGGGAAGCGCGAGTGCTGGGAGGCCAGTGTCCTGGCCAATATGCTCTGCACCACTACCTCAGCCTTGACCATCCAAGTGGCCTTGCTTGGTGTGATACAATCCACAAATCCAGGAAGGAGAAAAGGCTCACTTCTGCATACCCAGTTTTGAACTCAGGATCATAATGGTCAAGTTCCCCTTTAGTTCAGATGATGCCTTAAAAAACCTAACCTTTAAAATGTTTTTTGCATCTGGGAGTGAACTCGTTCCCTTAAGTACTCTTTGGACTCTTTCCAATTCCCAAATACCCAAAATAAGCTACAGATTTAAAGGGCAAAGCAGAGGGGTGTAGGGAGGACGGGATACAAAGACTGCTCCCTTGGCACAACACAATTCTTTGCTGCTCAGATTTTTGGTAAAGACAAAGTCTGTGGGAAAACTGAAGAGCAACCAATAGATAAGAATACCTGTCCTGTTTTAACTGAGAGGAAATGAGTGTGCCTTATGAAACTCACAGGTCCCAGTCCCCAGAGAGCAATTCTCTTTTGACCCCAAATGGAAATCAATGGCAAGACAGGAGTCTTGATGGAAAACAGAGGGTTGTACAGACTGAAGATTACATCCAGTGCAAGCAAACAGCAGCTGGTCCACGGAGACCCACACTGGGACTTAGTAGCAGGGTTATCATTTCCACTTTCCCTGTGACAGTCTGATCCTCTGAGATCCAAATAGGAGACACTTTTTAGACACTTCAGACAGTCTCAGGGAGCAAATCTGACACCACCCCCTTCTTGGGACAGATGTAGCCTGTTACAACGTGCAGGGTTCAGTGGTGGAGACACAAGCTCTGGTGACACAGAAGGGACAGCAGGAGGAGCATGTTTCTCCATGTTCTTAACACCTCGCCTCTGCCCCCACTCTCCTAAGAACTGCATTCAGTAGTGCACAGGTACATCGTTAATAAACAAGGCCTAACGAAGCAGTGCTTCGATTTTTAACACAGGGTCACGCAAACCTCCCTTGGGCTCTGCCTACCAGTGGGACCCTTTACGGGAGAAGCGGGCCCAGGCTGAGTTCCACATGCTGAGTGAGCCAGATGACTTCTGTGCCCTGGTCACTTTCCTCCATGGGGCGGATGGGTGCGGCCAGGTTTTTAAAATCATGTTTCATCTTAAAGCACACGGTCACGTCACCCTCCTCACGCTGTGGGGTAACTTTGATGAAAATCCCCACTTTGTTGGCCTTTCGGAAGGCTATGATGCTACGAGAGAACAAACACAGCATCGGGTTAGCCCTGTCAAACCATGAAAATGCACAACAGGAGGCCTCTGAAGAGCTGGCCACCATCTCATTTACCAGCCGTGAAGAGCTTCTGGAGCACAACGGTGAGCTTTCAGTTTTCGTTTTCAGTCTTACAAAAGGAAAGCATAACTTTCATAATACTGACGGGGCACAGAGTAGGGGTGTTCCCCCTGAAATGGGCGCAGTAGCTAAGGATGTTTGAAGACGTAGGCTTTGGAGCTCCCTGCTACCCTGTCATTTACCATGAACCAGTTTAACATCCTTACCAATTCTTTGCATTCAATCTCCCGCTCAAGTAATTGATGTGGCTTATGGTTTTAGACTGAACGCTGACTGACTATATTCCCTACCCAGGGAATGGTTTTTGTTTTGTTTTTGCTTCTTGGTTAGTATGTATGCAGAATGAAATATGCTAATTACTCTAGGGGCGGGAGGGGGGAGGGTAAGAAACAAACCCAAAGGCTTATCTCTAGGGATATAATATATCCTCCTATCACAACTATTAGAAAACATGCACTTCAGAAAGGTTAAAATGGAAAGATAAAAATATCTGGTTTAAAAATATTTAAGTGAAAAACAATGGCAACAGTTTATAGAATGCACCCAACGATGGAGGCCACACCTGGAAGGACAAACACCAAAGTACCGTGTTTCCCCGAAAATAAGACACTGTCTTGTATTTATTTTTCCTCAAGAAGACACACTATGGCTTATTATCAGGGGATGTCTTATTGTTACTATGTATGGTACAACAATCCACATTTAGTCAAATATAGTTAAGTCGTCTTCTGGAACATCGACCCACAGTGCTGAGTCAAACGGCAGCCACAGCTTTACTTCTCCCCGTAAGGATGAGGGCACACAACACCTACAGCAGAGCGTCCTGCTCCTCCTTCACGGAGGAGTCTTTGACGCTCACTGTCTCTGTCTCCCTCTGCGCCTCAGCTTGCAGCACAGAACCACGAGGAGCTGACAGGGGGAGGCAGCCTTGGGGATGGATGGGGCCGCCCGCCCGCCCCTCTCCGGTCCCCTCCGAGACAGCAGCTGTGAGGAAGGGGCAGATGGGAAGAGCTGCCCTTCTTCG